GAGTTTGTGAATTATTAGTACGTACCCACAATTCAATGCGTGTGTGAATTATTAGTACATACCCATAATTCAATGAGTTTGTGAATTATTAGTACATACCCATAATTCAATGAGTTTGTGAATTATTAGTACATACACATAATTCAATGAGTTTGTGAATTATTAGTACGTACCCATAATTCAATGAGTGTGTGAATTATTAGTACATACCCATAATTCAATGAGTTTGTGAATTATTAGTACGTACCCATAGTTCAATGAATGTGTGAATTATTAGTACATACACATAATTCAATGAGTTTGTGAATTATTAGTACGTACCCATAATTCAATGAGTGTGTGAATTATTAGTACATACACATAATTCAATGAGTTAACTTCTAGAAATAAATATGGTGTGTTAAGCATTGCCGGGGATTTCAAATATAGTGGTACAATTAAGGGAATACAGACGCCATCCCTCTCCATACACTTCGGCAAAGACGTCAATAAAATCAACAATCTGTTGAGCAGAGTCATTTACACTGGTACTGTGTATCGTATTGATGTGTATGACACGATTGAAGTCTCGTTCGACCATTTCACATTTGATATTGCTATTCACATTAAACGTCAACCATTACCAGATCGCATCGATCCAGGCGAATCCGGGAGCATTGGTGATAAAATTACAGTGATTATGAAAACATTTGAACGACCAGAGTTAGTTAAACCGTTCGTGGACGCCGTTCATAGTTTCTATCCAAATATGACTATCATCATTGCAGACGATTCACAAAATCCAGTGCCGTTTCAAAAAGATCGTGTTAAATACTATACAATGAATTTCAGGGATGGCACATATCCGGGAATAAACTTAGCGTTGTCACAAGTTGATACCAAGTACGTACTCTATTCCGATGATGATTTCGTCTTCACGAAAGAAACTCGTTTAGAACTGATGCTCGAAAAACTTGAAGACCCCTGTGCAAACGTTGACATTGTCGTTGCAGATGTTATCGGACTTCCCCGTCTTGGTCCTCTGTGGCGTGTAGGCTACAACGAGAGCGGAAAATGTATCATGGGCGTTCGCACTGTACGTCCAAAATACGTGGCAGTTCCCGGCTACCCACAGTGTGTCCATGGGGATTTTTTTGAAAACTTCCTTCTATCCAAAATTGTTTTACTTCGTAAAATCGGGTTTTATCCTCCCATCAGAACATCTACTCATTTAGAATTCTGGACAAACTCCATTGGAAAGGCACACATTGCGCGATGCGATGACGTCACCGTTGCTCATAACCATGTACATAACCCAGTGTATGACAAATACCGAAATGAGGTCTACAGCCTAGCGAAGAAAGGAAATCCGGCGCCTTTATTTGAGAACGATCTGTGTTACGATTTGAGAGGAGACTTTGGGGGCAAATCGAGACGCGACATTCAAGGATGAATTGAAAGGCCGCGTTTTTTTATAAATATCTAGAAATATATTAATTGATTTCACGGTGTTTCCTTGGTAGTTATTCTTGTATCGCAACTTGATTTTTTATAACTCTTTTTTTATCAGCTACTCTTAAAGTTTGCTATTAGTGGTGAATTGGAAAAAGAATAAATTTGAATTCTATTGAGACAAGTGGCTTTTAAATTATGTCGCGTCTTAGTGGTACATTAAACCATAATGGTGTACCGTCATTCGTCCACCTTCTTTGTCTTTTATTGGCGTATTAGATATCAAACAAAAAAGCGTTATGAATGGGTGCTCATTTCTAGGAGACTAATTCGGAATGATTTTTCAACTGAGAACGATATAGATGTAACTCTCATAAGGCCAAAAAAAACTTATGTTGCCCTCAAGTCGGAAAATTGAAAAATTGGGTTCGTCGCTCGGATTTTTTTTAAACTCGTGAAAA